CTTCAGAGCCAGGAGCTCTGTGACGGGATGGGTGAGGGCCTTTGCTGTCAGGGTTCAGGCAGAGACGCCTCAGCTCACTGGTGGTTGACTGGGCAATGTCCCAGGTTCCTGGGCTTCTCTGGAAGTCGAGTTGCCAGAGGCTGCCAGGATGCTTGGCAGAGTGATGACCACACTCTGGGAATTGGGAGAAGATGGGATTCGGGAAGCGGCACTGGGCAGTGGTCCAGCACGCTGGACCTGTTCCTGGCAGGGCCCACCTGGATCCCAGCTGCTGTGTGCCAGCTCTGTCCTCATACATGATCACCATAGCAGCTCACTCCAAGCCTGGCTACTGCCAACAGCAGCCACCTCTTTCCCACCCTCAGCTGCCTTGCAGATGGGAGCCACACAGGACCCCAGGCTTCAGCCTCCCCTGCCGCCTCTCATCCCCTGTCCTAGCTACTTCTCTTTATGGAGGCTCTCTACCATCCCTGAATACAGAAGCCAGGAAACCAACGAAGGGTGGATAACCCTCTTGTCAAGTAGGCCCCCGGGCTTCCCAAACAGAGGGGCAGGGAGAAAGGGCTGTCATTCAGCATCATCTGCCACATGACACTATTGACCAACCCTCACTGAAACACCAGAAACCCTCACACTCTTCTCCTAGGCAAACAAGGCCACCACCATCAGGAGCTGTGAGTAGAGGTGCTGGAGCTGGAGCTGAGACTCAGGGGCTGTCTGGAGAGCATCATCTCTTCCTTCCCCTCCACATTCCTCAGACTTCTTGGCGGGAGGAGGTACAGAGGCAGAGATGCCTACCTAGGAGGGAACACGCTGGCGGTAAGGACAGATGGGCTCAGATTCAGAAGGGAGACTCCTGGGAAGGTGTGACATGGTATGAGAGAGGGAGAGGGAGAGAGAGAGAGGGAAAGGGGAGAGAGAGAGAGAGAGAGAGAGAGAGAGAGAGAGAGAGAGAGAGAGAGAGAGAGAGAGAGAGAGAGAGAGGGAAAGGGGAGAGAGAGAGACAGAGAGAGAGAGATTTGCTAAATGATTAGGGACTAACAGAGCTGGAAGATAGAGACAGAAGAGCTTGTGCAGTGGAGGGAGACAGGGGCAGGGATGACTGTTCCTAGGAGTCCAGGATTGGCACCGTGAGTATGCCTATTCCATTAATATCTGTCTCTTTTACCAATCTGTGAGCTCCATGGGGTCAGAGGATATCTTATTGATTTATTTATTTTTTGTCACAATGACTCGAAAATGTACCACACTAGGCCCAAATGCTTGGTGCTTGAAAAGGATTTGTCAAGTCCTGGATGTAGCTCTGTAGGAGAGTGCTTGCTTAGCATGTATCAGGCTCTGAGTTCAAGTCCCAGCACAGAAACAAACAAACAAATAGGTAAATAAATATATAAGCAAGCAAGCCAGATATGGGAGTATACATCTACAACCTTAGGTCTAAGGAAGCTGAGGTAGGAGTTTGAGATCACCCAAGGCTACAGAGAGACCTTGTCATCAAAACAAACAAAGCAAAACAACAACAAAACCAAAAAACCCACTAGTGAACAAAGGTGTGTGAGTGTGAGAACTGGTGTTAGTCTCACTGCTGTGTCAATGCTTGACAAAAGCAATGGAAAGGAGGAAGGTTTATTTCGTCTCACAGCTCCAGGAACAAGAAGCATTTAGTCAGTCAGCGAGCAGAAGGATGGATGCTGGAGTCCAGCTCCTTTCTCCTCTAAATTCAGTCCAGGACCCCAGGGCGCAGAACTGTGCCACCCACACACAGTGTAGGTCTTCCCAGTTCATTTAACCTCATCTAGGTAATCCTTCATAGACATGACCAGGTGTCTCTACCATAATTCTAGATCCTGTCACTTGGCAATCAAAATTGGCCACCACGCTTGTATTTGCCAGTCACATATCTATGCCTCTTTCAGCTGGCCTGGAAGACTCTCCCTTTGTCCTATTTCATTGGTGTCCAGCTTCTTAGTCCACTCTTGACTCCTTGGGCAGCTGGGAGGTAATGGCGAGGCTTCTGGGCTGAAACAAAGGGTCCACTACAGTGCCAGGCTCGTCCCTTGCCCTTCTAGGCCATTCAAGTTTACACAGGTCAAGAGTGTGAAAGAGACACCCACAGATCATATGTTTAGATGTCTAAAAGTTATTCATTCAATGAACAGACTTGTAAACAAAATGTTTATCACCCACCCTAGCAAGTATCCTTGCATTATGACAAAACTACAAAGCATATAAATTGCCATGATAGCAGATATCTACAGAGGACACCTGCGTGGTAGTTCGCCCATGAGTGTCCTGAGGGGGAACTGTGTCTAGATGAGTAATGAAATAGACTTACAGAAGAAGCTAGACTCAAAAGGATAGATAATGTGTGATCCTGCTCACATGGAGCTCAAGAAAAGGCAAAGTGAATCCATGGGAACAGGAAGCAGAGAAGGAGGGCCACGCCTGAGGGTGTCAACCTATCATCTCAGCTACTTAAGAGGATGAGGCAGGAGGAATGAAAGTTCAAGGCCAGCTTGGGCAACACCCTGTCTCAAAACAGAAAATGAAAAGGCCCAGAAGCCAGGCATGGTGGTGCACACATTTAATCCCAGCACTAGGGAGGCAGAGGAAGGCAGATCCCTGAGTTTGAGACCAGTCTGGTCTACAGAGTGAGTTCCAGGACAGTCAGGACTACACAGAGAAATCATGTCTCAAGAAACAAAGAACAAAACAGAAAAACCAAAACCAACCAAACCAAACAAAACCAAAGTAGAAGTCTGAGGATGTAGCAAGATGATAGACTCCTTTCCTAGTACTCTTGAGACCCTAGGTTCAGGTCCTCATTACAGACAAACAAACAAACAAACAAACAAACAAACACCTAAATCCAACAACATTGGAAAACACCAGAAAAGTGAATTGCCTGTAGAAGTTCAGTTTAGCTGCAAAATATTATGGGGGAGTACCTGGGGTGATGGGGTGTTCATATCTAAACTGAGGTGCTGTAGGATATGTTTGCACTCATCCAGACTCACCCAGCAACTCAGAAGGAAAACATTTTACTGCATGCAAATAAAACCTCTCAAACAGTCAAGCCTAATGACAGAATCAGGAGAAATTTAGAACTAGTCATTGCCAGGAATCACACGAAACATACCTGCCCACTGCTTAGATGATCACATATTGACCCCATAACAACTCATTTTTCTTGCAAAGTCACAAGTCTGTAATTATAATTGGGATTTTCATATGATTTGTGTTGCACTAACAGTATATGATCATTCATTCTAAAGTGAACTTGTCTAGGGGACATGTCACAAATGAAGCTGGTTGTCAAGTTGAAACAGTCAAAGGAACACCTGGGATTAGTTTTAGCAACATTCTGAGTCAATCAGAAAATCTGAAATATTATTTCTGCAGATGGTCAATTCAAAGATTATTATTGTTGCTATCATTATTATTTTGAGACATGGCTCCATGTCTTTCAACTGGTTTAGAACTTACTATGTATCTGAGGATGACTTTGAACTCGTTTATCTCCTGAGTTCTAGGATTATAAGCATGCAGCACCATGTCCAGTCAATATGAAGATTATTATTATCTTTTGTGTGTGTGTGTGTGTGAGAGAGAGAGAGAGAGAGAGACAGAGAGAGAGAGATTGAGAGAGAGAGAATAAGAGAGAGAGACAGAGAGAGAGTGTGTGTTGAGTATGCCTAGTTCTGAGAATAACGTGTGCCAGCTCTGGCCTTCCACCTTGTGTGTGGAGCCATTCTTCTATTCAGTGTATGCCAGACTGGGTGGCTAGAAACTTCCAGAGATTTTCCTGTCTGTACTTCTCATCTTTATGTAGGAGTGATGGGATCACAGGCACATGTATTACCACATTTGGTTTTATGTGAGTGCTGAATATTTGGACTTAGGACCTCATGCTTGTGTAGCAAATACATGATAAGCCATCATCACAGTCCCAATATAAGAATCTTATTATTTTTAAAGGGGCATTTTCATTTGTGTATGTGTATGTACAGCTAAGCGCTGGTGCCCATGGGAGCCAGAAGAGGGTGTCTGGTCTCTTGGAGCTGGAGTTACAGGTTATTGTAAATCACACTACTTGGATGCTGGGAACTGAACTCTGGTCCTCTGTAAGAGCAGCAAGCTCTCTTAATTGCTGAGCCATGTCTCCTTTTTTAAGTGCCAAATTTCTTGAATATGGTACATACTTTATATTTACAGTGCATCTCAATGCAAACTAGGCATATTTCAAGTTTTTGATGGTCCATATGTAGCCAGTAAAACTGTAGCAGGTCTCTCAGACAAAGTATAAGAGAATAAAACATCATTTATCCTGTCTCTAAAATTTGAATATATTTTTATTAAGCACTTAAGTTCAAGTAAAAAAGTCAGATCTCTCACATATGATTTCAAAACAGGATTCAAAATGAATTATTAAAATTAAAAGGCATAATTTATATTACAAGGAATTAATATAAACCAACTAAGTAAAAGTCATTTATATACAGCTGGCATTTTAGTTAAAAAATTTAAAGACTTTTAAATATTATTAAATATTTTAGTAACATTTAGAAAATGTTCATAACTCTTGCATTGAAAGTAGGATTTTTGGTTACTGCAGTAAATCCTGTTTTCTACGTCAAGACCTATAGGCCTATGCACATCTCATATGATATATGAATTGCTAATGCTGCAAACTGTTCCTTGGCTGACATGTCAAGGGGAACAGTGCTACAAATAATAATGTGATAACCTGTGAATACTTTTAGAACTACTCATTAGAGCAGGAAGGCAGCCAGAAAATGGACACTTGGCATTACTCAAAAATGATGCTTTGTTTTGCAAGACTGGATTGCATTCCTGCTACCAGCAAGCAAAGATTTGAAAAGCTAATTCATTACTCTTCTTTCTTGCCTTTGGGCTTCTGCGGCTCAGACCCTCTTCACATTCTGGAGTAGAGTTGATGTCACCAACAGCAAGTTCTGGTAGCTTTTCTTTCTTTTTTCTGTATTTGAACTCAATAGTCTTGACTTGAAGAACCTGGGTCCAAAGATAGAGAGAAGTCTTTCCTTGGAATGTGAGCAGTGTGAATCATGAGGGCAAATGCTTAGGATACTGACTGGATTATGTCATGGCAGAGTTGGACCTAACAGCTCTGATGCTATTGAAGGTGTGTGTCTGTGTGTTTTATGTACACATGTGTATGCATACATTCTAGCAGATGGCTGCCTCTTTACAAATCTCTAATGGAGTACACTCGTATCCAATTCTTCAGTGCCGTGTAAGGCAGCTTTTTCCCTGAAAAGATGGAGATATTTTAATAAAGACTATATGACACATTAGCTGGTCCTTTAAAAATCAACTGATCCTGGCCGCCCTCCCCCATTCCTGGTTCTTGGTGATTCTTTCTTAAGGGGCTCTTTGAGTTGAGGCTTTCTGTGCATGTGATTTGACCAAGCAGCTACTTCTGTTGCAGTTGCTGGGAGGACCTGAGCAGGGGCTGGCAAGCTTCCCTTGCAGGGCTGTGGATTCTTCTGAAAGGCTTTAGTCATTTTCTGTAACGAGTCTGTCTCTGTAATGGTTTGGATGGAACCATTCCCTGTAGGCTCAGGTATTTCAACACGAGGTCCCTAGCTGGTGACACTGTTTGGAGAAGTGGCACAGCCCTGCTGAAGGAAGTACCACAGGCTTTCAGAGTTCACAGCCTCACCCCACTCCCAGTTTGCTCTCTGCCTTGGGCTTATCATCGAAGATGTGAGCTCTCAGCTTCTTCCTCCTGCTGTCATGTGTGTGGCTTGCTTTCGTGTCTACCTGTGATAATGGATCATCTCTCTGGAGCCATAACGCAAAACAAACTCTGTGAAAAACTCCTTTACACTGCGTGAATATATGTCACTGAGACTGGTTTAATAAAGCATCTTACCGGCCAGTACCTGGGCAGGATAAAGGTAGGTGGAAGAGGCAAACTGAGAGTGCTGGGAAGATGAAAGGTGGAGTCAGGCGCTGCAAGCAGATGCAGAGAGAAGCAAGATGGGCATGCCTTACTGAGAAAAGGTTCCAAGCCATGCAACAAAGCATAGATGAGAAATATGGGTTAATTTGAAATGTAAGAATTATCTAGTAGCAAGTCTAAGCTATTATCCAAACATTTATAATTAATATTAAGCTTCTGCTTGGTTATTTGGGTGTAGCTTGTGAGACAGAAACTTCTGCCTACAAAAAAAATACAGAAGTTGATCTGTATCACTCCAGGCTCTAGAAAGGAACAGAACTAATAGGATGAGCACACACATGAAGGTGGTTTATTTGATTGCTTTACAGGATGGGGTCTAGGGAGCCAACAACAGCTATCTTACACCAGAGAGGCAGAGATTCTGAGAACAGTTGCTCAGTCCACAAGGTTGGACGTCTTAGCAGTCTCAGGCTGGCATTGAAGGCCTGGAGGGTTCCTGGACTTATTCTTGGAACACTGAAGAAGTGGATTTTATTATCAGTGAAGGAATGCTGCAGCATCAGAGCAGATGAACCTGATGACGGCCATGAAGGCAAGGAGGTGAGAAGCAAAGCTTCCTTCTTTTGCATCCAGAGATGGACTGCTGCCAGAAGATGCCACCCACGTTTAGGGTGAGTCTTCCTGGTTTGAATAATCAGATCAAGGAAATCCCTCACACGGATGCCCAACAGCTCGTGTTTCAGTTGCTGCAGAAGCAGTCAAGTTGACAACCAAGATGAGCTATCACAGTCCTGGATGCGGTTGGGTGACAGTTTTTCACTAATGAGTGCAAAGGGAGCAAGTGAGTATGGGAATGGTTCATTTTCACTTTCCCCTTGTTGCTAGACCTTCACCATCTATAGGAAGATGAAAAAAAGCCAAAAGAGAATTTCCCACAATCCTCTACTCTCCTCTTAAGGAGCACAGCTGGCACTGAGTCTTGATTTCCTCTGGTTCCAATGCCCTGGATAGTGATGAGAATGGGCAGGAGGCCAAAGGGAGCTAGGCCCCTTGTCTGTACAGGAGCCCAGCCCATCTGTGGTCAGTGTGAATGTAGGTAGTACCATGCTAGTGGGGAGATGCTTACCCTGTATCCATGGTTACAGGGGCATTTTATTTGTTTCTATATCTGTGTCCTCTCTCAGCTACCTCATTATTGGTTAACACCTTGTATTTGGCACATAGTGGTACCAGAGATTGTAGTCATAGTGAGTTCTTTATTGACTCACACTGTGTGCCATGCTCAGGGAGGGGAAGTAACTGATTTAGACTGTGCTTTCCTATAGCTTACTGCTGCCCTGGGACAGTGGACAGGGTAGAAAGTCTAGCAGCAGACCTCCTTAAGGACAGCAGCCTCAGGGATATATTCAATCTGAGGCTTCCAAGTAAGGCTCCATAATTCAGCCTGTGACAGTCTAGGGGCCTCAACATAGAGGAGATAAATCGAGCTACTTGTTGAATGAAAATGGGAACAAATGAGCCTCACACTCAGGCTGAGAACCTTAAAAATGGGGGACAGGAATGTCGCTGAAGCTTTCAATTGAATCCCTGTAAAATGCCCCCCAGAGAAAGCAGGACAGGACAGGGAAAGTTACTGGGGAGTGCAAGCAGGGAGGGTTGCTGAGAGCTGGAGGGCCCACTGAGGCCAGGGACAAATGACTCCCACTTGCCATTCCTGCAGAGAAAGCCTGAGCCGTAGCCTGGGAAGGCTACTGATCCGGAGCAGGAGCAAGCAAGATGAGCTGTCGCTGCTTGAGGACAAATCTCTTTTAATTTTGTTCTCTGGAGGAGAGAGTGGGGGCGGGTCAGCATCAGAGAAAGAGATTGGCTCAATAAGTAATGGCCCTGCTGGTTCCACTAACACCCCAGCTGAGGGATGAGAGAGCAGTGCCCCCACTCCTTATTGATGCTGGGCCTAGCTGCCAGGGGATAGGGAAAGACCAGTTGCTTTTCCCACTTGGCCAGTCCTGGAACAAGCAATCTGGGAGGGTTCTTTTTTTTTTTTTTTTTTGGTTTTTATGAGACAGGGTTTCTCTGTATTGTTTTGGAGGCTGTCGGTCCAGCCCGGCCTCGAACTCACAGAGATCCGCCTGCCTCTGCCTCCTGAGTGCTGGGATTAAAGGCGTGCGCCACCACGGCCTGGCCGGGAAGTTTCTTAAGAACCTTGGGTCACTATCCCTTTTGAGGGCTGAATGATCCATTCACAGGAGTCGCATATTAGATACCCTTCACAGCGAATGTTTACATTGTGATTCATAACAGTAGCAAAATTACAACTGCCAAGTAGCAACGAAAATAGTTATATGGGGGGGCGGCTCACTACAACAGGCAGAACTGTATTAAGGGCCCAGTATTAGGAAGGTTGAGAACCACTGCTGTAGGAAATGTGAATGTGGCCTCTGTGGAGCTTTAAGGACAGTCTATCTGGGAATTCTCAGTGAGCCTGGATAAGGTCTAATGAAAGCTGTGCCTGCTCAACTTGTAGGCAGCTCCATGCTAGAGTCTCCTCCACCCCAAGCCAATGTTCCCTGCTTTTATATATCTTTGGAGAAAGGCCTTAGGAATCCTATGGGTGTCATTAGCTTCCTGGTTCTTATGACCCCTGCTTCTTCCTTCAGGAGGGAATGTTTTAATTCTGAGGAGATAAATACACATCAGTCACTATGTAGTGTAGAGTTGTCCTTCCTGTTCCCCAGAGTCTGCAGAGTTAACCTTGTGTTTGAGGAAGCAGGCCCAGAACAGTACAGGGATCCTGTCCCTAGGCTGGCAAATGCCTGATCTCTGCGCAGTCCTCTGCCTGAGCAATGACAGATCAGACAGGCAAGAAAGAGGCTGCAGCGGGAAAGCCAGGAAGCCTGGGTGTCCTGGTGAGCACATGATGGGGAGACAGAGTGAGCGTTGGGGTATGCCTGCTTCTGTTGGTGATAAAGGAGACAGAAGGGGCCTCGTGCTGGTGCTGGAACTTCAAGAGGGCTGGAGAGGTGACTTAGTAAAGGTCTCACAGCACAAGCATGAGGACCTGAATTGGGATTTCCTAGGACCTATATAAAGCTAGATGAGGTATGGTGCCGGTAATCCTAGTGCGCCTACGGTGAGATGAGGTGGAGTATCTCCAGAAGCACCCTGGCCAGCCAGGCTGGCGTACACAGGAAAAAGTACCTGCCCTAGGCAAGGGGGAAAGTGAGGAATAACTCCAGAGGTTGTGGTGTGACCTCCACACTGGAACTGTGGCACATACATGCCTAGAGTCACACACATGAGCCCCCCTCTCATATGCACATACACGCATGCACACACAGATAAATTAATATACTAATATGGGAAAGACTGCTTCTGAAATTTTGGAATGAAGTCAATCTTAGCCCCTGCTTTGACTTCTTGTTGGTCAAGGCCAGGTTCATCTTTGCATCAGTTTCCTGATGTGTTCAAGGGGGGGGGGACTGATTACAAACCTTCATAAACAAGACCTAAGGATCAGAGCGTAGGCACAAAAGCACATTGATGCCTATAGACAACAAAGGGAAGGGCTAGTGGCAAGGATTTGAGAAAGGTTCTAAGGGGAAAGAGATGGTGGGGGAGAGGACAGCAAGCAGAGGGGAAAGCCAAAGGAAGGAGGAGTTGGCAAATGCAATTTGTAGGAGGTCATTGATCTGTACCAGGCTCCTGTACTGACCCAAATAGATCAAACCAATATGGAGTTGTTCAGGCTAAACCAAGCAAATGAACTTAAAAGTGCAGTCATGTAACAAACAGCCAGGCCTTGGTCAATTGTAGCAGTTGAGTGACAGTCACCGATGGAAGACCACCTAGGAGGCCGGCCAATTCAACACCAAGCTTTGTATCTCACCCCTCCTATTTCAATGCTCACTTCTGCTTTCTGTCCCCGGATTCTTCCTGACCACATTCAGTGCAGTGTTCTTTAAACCTGCTCTGGTTCTGAGGGCTACTCAATTCTAGAATCACGAGATGGGAAAGATCTTTATGCTAAACTTGTTGTAATGTTGACTTTGGATGAACCAAACCTCATCTGGTCTCTATAGACAGTTAATTTCTTCTGGTAGTTTGTGGTTCAGTGTTTTGACTTCTTGATGGTGTAGATGAGGTTCAGCTCTATTGGAAAGACACTTTCCCCCTTTCTCTCTCTCTCTCTGTCTCTGCCTCTGGTTGTCTCTGTCTCTTTATGAAACAGGATCTCATGTATCCCAGGCTGGCTTTGAGCTGACTCTATAGTTGAAGCTGGCCTTGGGCTCCTGATCCTCCTGCCTCATCTTCCAAGCACTCAGACTATAGGCATGTGATATGCACCTGACTTATGGCATGTGGGGGAACCAGTCCAGACCTTGTACATGTTAGGCAAATACTCTGTCAACTGAGCTCCAGCCTCAACCGGAAACTGTACTTTGCAATTCAATCTTTGCCCGGTCCAGAGTCATGAAGTAGGACATATTGTCAAGATGCTGGACAGACGCAGTGGGCCAGTGCTCCCAGTTAGTCATGAGATCATCAGGGGACACAAAGCAGTCTCCCCTGCATGGTGTGCTGAGGCATAGCATCTGTTGGATTAAATGTATTTTCATTTTATGATTTTTTTCAATGTGTGATGGGCTTAACAGGACATAACGCCTCTGTAAACGGAGGAACACCTGTGACTTAGTCACTTTCCTGGAAACACAATGCATTTGACATGTGTCTTTGACAGTACCTGCTGGGATGCAGTAGACTTTGATGTGGTAGGGAAAAGGGGAGTCTTGTTTTTAGACATGTCTCAGCCCAGTCCTGACTGCACTGGGTGCCTCCCTATTTTTGATACTGAGGGAACAGGGGTTCAGTGTGGCTAGGGACTGACAAGACAGCTCAGTAGTTAAGTGTGCCTGCTACTCTTTCAGAGGATCTGAGTTTGGTCCCTAGCCCCCATGTCTGACAGCTCACAACCACCCATAACTTCAGAGAACCCCTTTCTGGCCTCCAAGGCTACCTACATACATATGGCACACCAACACACAGGCACACACATAATTAAAAAATAAATCTAGGAAACTAGAAAAGGAAATGATGTGACTGAAGTGGAATATGCTACTCACCTTCCCAAAGCAGCATTGAGTTGTACAGTAGATTCTGTGAGCACTGGGAGGTATGACTGGGAGAGTCTAGAAGACTCACGGCTGAAGTGCTTATGTAATTGGCTCCAGTAGGATTCCAGGCGTGCTCTAAAGAGGGGGGAGAGCTCAGGTTCTCTCTGTGGAAGGGACAGAAAGGCCAGGCTTTGATAACACTGGGGTAAACAGTTATTTCTCTCCAGGATCTTCCCAAAGGTGAGAACGATTATAATAGGAACCACGAACTATGACTTTCTAACATTTGGTTCTGAAGGTGCAGGTGGCTGCACTGGAAGTCCTACATGCTAGGCCACCCCCAGGAGACACGGCCATCCTGGGCAGCCAGGGAAACAAGACCTGCGCTGCCTCCCACCTCCCTGCCAGTTCTGAGACTGCTGGGCTGGGCTGGCTGGTCTTCTCTCTGCAAGGCTGCTCTCCTGTTTGCCACTTTGCCGCTGAGTGGATGGATGGCTTTCAGGCCCCATTTTTCTCCCATAGCGGTGGGGAAAATGAATCTCGCCAAGTGTTGCCGACACCATCTTACCAGGTTGCACATCCATCGCAGACTGGGGCCGCTGACAGAGCACAGGCCATCCCTCAGCCCCACACCGAGGCCCAGGGGACAGACTGGTGAACATTTAGCATCTCTTCCTGCTGCTCTGGCCCTCCTCCCCCATCCTTGCTGACTGCCTCCGTAGGCTGGGATGGCCATGATAATTTTGCAAAAAGCTCTTCCAACACAGGCTAGGTGGAGGGATGGCAATGGTCCTGTCCTGCTCGCCTCTGTAGACAGCATGGGGAAAGGTGACACCCGCTGATTTCTTAAAAGCCAAGTCTGCAGAGGATAGGGGTCAGAAGCCGTTTCTCTACACTACACACTTGAGCACTGAGGACCAGTCACTCCAGGCTCAGGGTCTTGGTTTCTTCCAGTACTGGATTGGAATCTTTTCATTGCTTATTCCAGAACAAAACTGCATGGAGCATTTAAAAGCAGGACACTGATGGTTCCATTTAGGAAGCATTTACTGTGTGTAAACTTGTATGGAAATGGCTACCGGCTTCCATAACCACCTGGGGGGGGGGAGTGAAATTCGGCCTGTTTTATAGATTAGATAACTATAATACAGATTCAAAGTGATGTGTGACAGACAGTAGAACCAAATCCGAAAGTCCTTTCTTCCTGCGTGGTGACACAGTCCTAGACTTAGGGAACCTTCCAAAGAGTAAAACACTGAAACTGGGGAATCTCAAGAGAACCCTTGGCCTTCTGTTCCTGGGCTCAGTTAATACTAGCATGACCTGGTTCTAATCCACCCCTTCCCTCCCCACCACGGCCAACTTCCTGAAATGCAGTGGGATACTTTGTTCAGGCATGTTTAACAGCTGCTGCTGGCACGTACCAGGTCAGGATAAAATCTAGAGTCTTGGTGCTTGCTGGTTTGGCCTGTATCCGGTTGCTGTGACTCTGTAGCTCACTCAGTAGCAGAATCTGTGTCCCCTTCTGCAACTCACAGGCTCTTTTGTCTCGTTTGTTTTCCCCTCTGGAGTGTGAGTCTTTCCTCCACAGCCTGCATGTTATCCACAGAAAGTTTGGACCTAAAAATGCCTTTCCTACATATGTGGCCATTAGATTTGTTTCTTCCCGATCTGCATTTGGGGAAGGGCTGCTGGAGAAAAGGTTTAGCTATAGACCAGGTGTGGTGGCTTGTGCCTGCAATCCCAGCAGTCTGGAAATGAGGCAGGAGGATGGAGAGTTTGAAACAGTCTGAATATACAATGAGTTCAAGATCAGCTTCAAATGCTTCAAAAGACCCTGACTCAACAAACACAGCAGGTTATGCTAATTTTTTACAGGAGACAGATGTACAGGATTCTGTTTGTGGGTGCGTGCGTGCTTGTGTGTGTATGCGCGTGTGTGTTCATGTGTATGTAGGTGCTTGAGTGGGACAACCTAAGCTGTCATTCCTCAATGCTGTCTACCTTGTTTGTTTATTGTTTATTTTTGAGACAAATTCTCTCATTTGCCTGGAACTCATCAAGGTGGCTGGCCAGTAAGCCCCAGGGATCAGTCTCTCCCTCCCAGCACTGGGATTACAAGTATGCACCACCATCATGCCACCATGCCTGACCTTATTTTTATTTATTTATTTTCATGGGGATAGAACTCAAGTCCTCACAGTGCAAGTATTTTACCAACCGTCTCCCAGCTTAGGACTCTTTTAATACCCTCTACTGCCATGATGACCACCTAGTGACTGGATTATAGGGGGCCAGAAGATCAAGTCCTTGTGACAGAGAGATGCCTGCGGAGGCCTAACAGCCTGCCTAGGCCCCCAGAGAGTAGAACTAGGAGTGGGTGCCTTTTACCAGGAGGGTGGCATAAGTACAGAGTCTCCCACAGACTCTCAACACTGTACCCACATTCCATTTATCTGGAGTGCATTGTAGTCTAGTTAGGGCTGGAGGTTTGCTTTCATTTGCGTTGTAAATTCTACTCCAATCTGAGATGAGAAAGTGGTCTTATTTACTCTTAAAAAGGAGTCCCCTTCTCCTGTGACTTGGGAGGGGTCCATGCTCAGGCCTGGAATTGAAGGGGGCACAAAAGGGCTTGGGATAGGATTTAAATGCTGACATCCCCTACCTCAAGTTGATCTTTGTACAGTTTGGATCACTTTGAGAACGGAATGAAGTCCACGTCAAACACTACACTCTCTTTACACACCATTTTGGGAGGCTGTGTACTTCTCAAAGTTCATCCCCTGGGCCTGCCTCCGTTTCAGATGCTCTGACAGTGTGAGAGCCCCTGCATGTGAACCCTCACTCCTGTTTCCCCCAGGGCTGACCATCACTGGGATTCTGGACTCCTACCGGCAGTGGGTGATGGGATGTCCTTGGCCTAAGCAAGTCTCCAAGCTACCTCACAAATTCAGGGCTATGGAGGAGATGGTGAAGTTTTGGGTGGAGGAGTGTAGAACCCAAGATTTGCTGTGCTGTGTTCCTTGTGTGAACTCTGAACTGCTCTTAACAGGAATTGTCATCCTATAATGGGAGTGGGGTCGGGAACTGGACCAGGGATATTTTCAGTGGAGAACCTGATATGATTCCCCTGGGATGCTCTTTCTACTGAATCTCTGTTTAGGTCTGTATAGAAGTGAGGCGGACTGCTCCCTGATATACACCCCAGGCTGAAGTAGAGCTGATCCCACAGTCCTTTCCCTGGGTGTGCATGTGAAAAACAAGGCCTCTGTCCCTGATCCCTATTCCCAGCCAACCCAGTGTGGCCTTGTCCATAGCACACATATGAAGCACCTCCTGTGTGCAGGCCCCAAGCCAGATGTGGACGGCAGCACTGAGTAAATAAGGCCAGTCTTTAGGGAGTTTCGCCCCAGTGTCGGGAAGGGAGGATAGAGCGTTAACTAAACAGAAGGCGGTGGCAGGTGTGGTGAAGGACCTGGCCTGCTGGAGGCTGAGCCATGTGGAGGGCTTGGTGAAGGGGCCAAGGAAGCCCTCTGAGGTGCAACTGTGGGCAGAGGTGAAGCCACCACTTTTCCTAGCATTTTCCAGGGGCCCTAGAGCAGTTCAGGCAGTTCAGCAGAAACTGGTTCCTGGCCTCATCTGGGTCTGGAGGAGACAAGCAGGTGGCAGCTTCCTGTCTCAGGGACCTTGGAGCCTGGGGTACAGCCTGTGTACATCTGTGGCCAGGAGTCACAGCCCACCAGGAGGCTCCTCCCCAGAAGAAAGGGTTTGTGGGTAACATACACACTCCCTGGTCACCCCCTATTTTAGGAAAAGAGCATGCCCCGCTCCAGCTCCAGATCTTCTTGTTCTTGATTCACTCCTCTCCTCTTCTGCCCTAGGTCCCTCCCTCTGGAAAGGCCTCTTCAGGAGAACTAAGATGTAGGCTTTGGGAAAGGAGAAGGACATAAGGATGGAGTTGGAAGAGGTGGCAGCCAGCCACAAAGCTGTGTCCTCAGCAGCCTGTGAATGAGACCTAGAGAAAAACCAGAGAGATGCTCCCTGGCTTGGGCTTGGCTTTATCTGCCCCTCACCCTGTAGATAGACACCAGTGCCCTTAGAGCCCTGTGCTGGGCTACAGAGGGGACGGGAGCTGAGTGTGGTCCTGCATGGTAAACAGCAGCTGGCCCATTGTATCAGAGACCCGACTCTCAGTGTCCCGGGCCTGGCCTTCCTAAGCACTCTGTTCCCTGTGAGATAACCCGGGTTGGGAAGGCGGACATACTGTCCCTGTTCTGAGTGTGGTCCCCTCATTTTAGAGTTATCCCAGGCATTGGGGAACTCAGGGTGGAGCGTGTCCTGAGGGATGCTTTGAAAGCAGACAGAGCTACACCAGTTCACAGCTACCCTCTTTTGAGTCACCTGTGACATTCACCACACACACACACACACACACACACACACACTGAACCCCACCTCTGTGTAGTAAAGTAAAATATCAATATACCAATGTCTCTCTTTTAGAGACTTCCAAAGTCTTCAGGGAACTTCTCAAGTTCCCTGAGAGATGACGCAGGTCAAGAAGGAAGACGAAATGCCAAGAAAAAAAATTGGTAGCATTAGATGGACACTGAGACCAGACCTTCATGTCACCTCACTTGAGAAATGCATCTTTCTGTGAAAGATCATAAAATAATAGTTCGTGTTTGCTGAGGTGATCTGAAGGGTTAGCCAGTCTCTGTTATCCAGTGAATGACTCATTTAATTCCCACAAGAACCTCTGAGATGGGAATTTTATCCCTGTTTCATGGACCGGGAAGCAAAGCTCAGGGAAGAATCAGCCGTGCTCCTCCCGTGGCCCAGCGAATTGAGTCATACCACCTGGCAGCCAGCCTCAGCCGGGGCTCCTCCCAGAGTCCCTTTCTTACTGTGGCACAAAGGACCAGGCACCCTAAATGAGGGCTTCTGTCCCCAGGTTCCACCCCAACAGGCACCAGCCCTGAGTGAATCATTTCATTAGTGTTAATAACACAGTCCCTTTAACTGCAATGTTTCCAAATAGAGGGCCCTCTAGTCACTTTAATGAACAGATAAGAATCTTTGTAATTAACTCAGTGATGGCTTGCATGTGAATGGCAGTCTTCGGAATGCGGGCAGAGCTTTTATTTACTGCTGTAAGTCTGGGCTGCTTCCACAAGCTCAGCACACACTCGGGCTCCTGAAGGTTATTTATGCAGATGGGTGGCAGCCTGTCCACAGAGGAACGTCAGGGCCCTGGAACTTCTAGTGCGGCCTGATTCTAAGTTACCTCCTTCATTAAGCCCAGGCTTAGACTCATAGCCCTAGTGGTCATCCAGGTGACTTGTATCTTCTCAACCTCAGCTCAGCCCCGATAAAATGGGGGACCGGCCGCTTGGATGCCGTGAGGCTCTACCAGCCTCTATGCACGTGTGCAACTAAGAAGTGTGTGCGTGGGTGCATGTGAGGAGTGTGCAGGAGTATTGTAAGGATCCAGGAATTATGCTGGCCTGCCCTGTCACCTGGAAGAATACACTCAGGCAGTACCTTGGTCAGCCCAGAGTTTCATTGACTGCTAGTCTGCACTCAAGTGCAAAGGACCCCTTTCAAAGAAAGACCCCACGCCCAGCCCGCTGTTCCCCTGGGGCAGACAAGACTTTTCCGGTCTCCCTTGCCTCTTCTGTCCTCGGTCTCTGTGTCTCTTTACCTTATTTTCTTACCTCCCCCTCAACAAAACTTTCAATGAGTCACGTCTACAGGTGTCTGTTTCCCCATCCGCCCGCAGTACTGACCGCGATCCTCAAGGTCCCAGTGCAGGACTGGGGACCCTCCACCTGCCGCCCACCACGCCACGCTGCATTATTACTAACAAGTATGAGTTGTGCGCATGAATGGAGCCTGCATAGGCGTTCCCAGGAGGGGTGTGTACATACGACACACAGTAATTTCTGGAATATTGCAACTTTCTCTCGTCAAACAAAGAGAGAATCTCAGGTGACTTAGAAGGTTCTGGAAACTCTGAGGGTTACATGATCCTCCCAGGGTGATGGAAGCAGTAACTGGTAGAAGTGAGAGGAGACTCTTCTGCCTGCTGAGCTGCACAGTGAGCTCTAGGGATGGAACTTTTGACAGTCGTCACCCACACTGCGGTAGGCTTTTCGGTGACACGGTTGCCTTTGAGCCACCCACGCTCCTGTGAGTCCAGCAAACTCAGTGGCTACCAAGCTGGACTTGGCTGGAATGCATTCCCGTGCCTATCGCTGGCGCCCTGTTCACATCTCTCCAGGAAAAGTCACACAGCCCTACAAGGGCACATGACAAGTGTGTACACACGTGCATACAAGGAATGTGTGTGCTTGTGCGTGTGAGAAGGGTGTGCATTTGTGGATGCACAGGGAACAGACACTTGCTCGTGTATATGCAACTTGGGCGGGCGCTCTGCGCCTGCGCTCTGTGATCCAGAGGCCTATGTCTGGGGCTTCTATCAATGGCTGCAGTTTAATCACCTGGACCGGTGGCTTCAAAGTAGAGTTTTCTGAGAGTCAGCCATTGCTGGAATGTTCTGCTCTCTCCAGTCCCTGGGAGAATGGACTAGCCAAAGTCGCATCCTCACCTACTCCATAGCCAGTTCCACAGAGGACAATCTGGACCTGAACCTGGAGGGTATGGGGAAGACACCATTTTACCAGTGTGCAAGTGTGTGTCTGTGCAGGCAGAGGGCAGAGGGCAGAGGGAGGGGACTGGCATTCCAGAGTCCTGCCATCGCCTCCCCATTTCTATCTCCTGAGTAGCAGAGCCTGTGCCCAGGACAGGGTAGGGAGATGGTAAGTATACAGGAGGAGCAGAGACAAAGAGTAAAGATGGAGTCTTTGCCCCGCCCACTCCTTTTACCTTCTAGGCTGCCTCTGATGGGTAAGAGCTGTCACGTGGAGTCAGTCAACTTTCAAGGTAGGTGATAAGCTGTCTGGCTCCTCTTACTGAGGAGTGGAAAGCTCCCAGGGCTGGCTCGCTCTCCTTTCTCTGTCCTGTCTCCTTCCTATGGAAATAGCCCCAGAGCTCCTGCACCAGCCACCCCCCAGGAAGGCCATGCAGAACATTTTTTTAAAGTAGGAGAATGGCAGTACCTACCTGGAGGCCCCTCAAAAATATCTGACCTTGGGAAGTTTGTCCCCTTAAGAGTTTTGACTTTTTTTTTCTTAGTAGCTTCTCCACTGGCTCCAAGAGATCAACCTCTTTGCCTCCAGAACAGTGTCTAAAGAGGAGCAGAGGGTCTGGCACATACCCATCCCATTTTGCTAGTGAGCTGATTTCTGGGCCCAGCTCTCCAACATCCTTCAAGTATCCCTGTCAGTAGCTACTCTGTACGTGGTGTCTCCATTCATTTTGGGGGTTGAAGACAGCACTTTATAAAAAGAGGAGTTCAGTGCCTAGGTTGTTCCAGGGCGGCTGTTAACTTAAGGTCCTCGCTTTATTCCTGTTGAGCCTGCTCCGGCTTGAATTTCTCCAGGGTCATGCATAGTGGTTTCTAGTGATTGCTTCTGAGTTCTCCAATGTGAACAGTGTGAGGGATGAGGAGAAAGGGTGGCAAACTACAGGACAGGATGGCAGGCACAGCTGGGGGATCAATCCCAAAGCCTGCTGTGTAGCTTCGGTCTGCTTTGTGTCCATGGTGGGCCCTAGTGCCTTGGCTGGCAAAAGTGTGAGCCTGCCTGCAGCACCCTCAGCCCTGGGGAGTGGGGGGATGGGGTCTCTACAACCAAGCAGTTGCTCATTCTTCTCCCCAATGTCTCTACATGGGATGAACGGTTGGCAAGCCCTGCTTCTGCACAGTGCTGTGTGTGCTGGTTCTACTCTTCTTGCCTGGCTCTGGGCTGTGCTCTGTCTGCTGCAGCTATTGCCTCACTGCTATCTGGTCCCCTGCTATCCTCCCGCCACCCAGGCAGAGGAAAACATCTCAACTTCATGTGGGATCACGATGCCCAAACCCATGAGGCCCTACAGCAATCCTTCTGCCCCCCCCCCACACCAGCCCTTTCATAGAAGCTCTCCTTGTTTCCTTGTTGTCAATGACTTAGTACAGACAGAGGCAGGGGCATGGCTGCAGGGCTGAGCAGCAGCCTGAGACTCCATACCCACTGAGAATGTCTTCTACTGTCCTCTTCCTTCACTTCCTCCTTTTTCTTTCACCCAAGGCAAAACTCTATAGCCCTCCCAGGTGGCAGTGGGGTCCTTGAGGATCGGTCCACATTGCAGCCCAGATTCCCGGCAGAGTCCAGCACATAACAGAAAATTGATGCGTTAAGTAAGTCTAACACTAGTGATGTCTCACTCACACCTCTGGAATATTCTTTCTGAAGATATATCTCTGCCTCCCTCTTCCCTCTCCCTGGGAGCTCCCAGGGGATGATGCCTTGGACACCTGTGACTCCCTACACTATGAATCCTGGTACAGGAAATCCCATGCTGTTAACTGTGATGCTGACTACAGCACCAGCTACTCAGGAGGCTGAAGTAGGAGGTTTGCAAGTTCAAAGCCTGCTCAGACTATAGAGTTCAAGGTCATTCTGGGGCTACATAGTGAGGACCCTGTCTCAGTCAAACAAAACAAAGTAAGACAAAAGTAAAAGGAGGATGAGAGGGTGGCTTGGTGGTAGAGGGCTTGCCTGACACATGAAATGTCCTCAGTCCTCAGTTCAGTACCCAGTGTGGACAAACAAACAAACAAACCAAGCCCCGGATGAAGAACTGTCACTGAATCTGCATTTGACTTTAATTTAGTCAGAAAACATTTGCTGAGCACTTACCAACGTCAGGCACCTCAGGGTCCTCCATGAGCTATGTAAGGTAGGTTGACACAGCAAGCCTTTGTGTTCTGAAGAGGAACCCTGACCTGAACTTGAGCCCCACCCTGTCTGTGCTCAGCTTTTGGAGTGGCCCGGTCTTGTCACTGAGCTCTGTTGTCAAACACGTGGTGAGCAAGTAGAATGTTCGTTGCCAGGCTCCCCATTCACACTCACACCTTCCTCAGAAGCTGGACTCTGGTCCTGGCAAAAAAATCTACTCACTGAGACTCTCGACTTGTGATCTCTGCTAAGTGCGGCGACTGCCTGGGTTGTGGGACAGGTGACCCTGGAAGCCAGCTGGCTTTCTGTGGTGCATCAAAAATGTTCTGGCAGTCAGTGCAACCCCATTCTGCTGCCACAGGTCCCCCTCCCCCCAATATGGTTACTATAGCCCTGTGCATGGGCTGGCCAGCTCCCCTGGCCATGTCCCTGTCTGACTTGCTGCCTATTCTCTGATGTGGTCTCTCGGGACCTGGAGATACCCTGTGAATGTTCCCAAGCCCAAAAGGGCTCTGCTCATTCAAAGTGACATCCACATCCAACAGAGCTTTCCCATCTGACCTCCAGGTAAGAACTGCTATGCTCCTGCCATAGCGGATGCAAGGAGAGACTTCCACTATGTAGACAAAGGAAACTGGGCTGTTCTGGCTGGCACAGTGTAACACTTCCCCCCATAAGACTTCTCCCCTGAGCCAGTCTCAAGGCCAGCTCCTTCCCCCTAAGTTGACCACTGAAGACTCCTGGAGAAGACCCATTTTTTGAAAGCCACCTTTCCAGGACATTGGATCTTTTGTTATACAACGTGGGTGTCTCCATGGCACCCAAGCGTCTTAAGAGACACAACATGGTCCTCCGGCAGCATCAGGTAAACAGGCCGGCTTCCCGGCCTGTGTTCCAGTGCCTGCAGATCGCCTGGGAACTGCACAGAGCTCCCAATCCCGGCGGGAGCCAAGCACCCCAGACTCCAGATCTTCTCTCCCACCAACGAGACCAGGAAACGAGAGGAGGCTGGGAGTCCAGGGAAGCAGAGGTTCCTCTGGCAGCATCAGGTAAACAGGCCGGCTTCCTGGCCTGTGTTCCAGTGCCTGCAGATCGTCTGGGAACTGCACAGAGCTTCCAATCCCGGCGGGAGCCAAGCACCCCAGACTCCAGATCTTCTCTCCCACCAACGAGACCAGGAAACCAGAGGAGGCAGGGAGACCAGGGGAATAGCTGTTCCGGATCAGGTACAACAGGACCCAGCATAACGTCCAGGGGACCAGGTAGGAGGCTAAGCGCCCCAGAGTCCTGTTCTTCTTCTCCACCCACGGGACCAGCATTTGGACAAGGAATAGAAGAACTACCAGATTATTGGACTTGCTAGCACCCACCAAAAGGGAACTCTCGTCCCCAGACCAGTAAGGGGCTCTTTCTGCACCCACTAGAAGAAGAGATGGGAAAGAGACAATACAAAAACACACTCAGCAACAGAAAACCAAATATGACACCACCAGATTCTAGAGACTCCACACCAGCAAGACCCCAACATTCCAATGCGAACAAAGCAGAAGAGAACGACCTTAAAAGCACTTTCATGAAAATGATAGAGGCCCTAAAAGAGGATATAGGAAAATCCCTCAAAGAAATGGAAGAAAAAACAACCCAAAAATGCAAGAAATGGAAGAAAAAACAAACCAAAAAATGCAAGAATTGGAAGAAAAAACAAACCAAAAAAGGCAGGAAATGGAAGAAGAAATGAAGCAAAAAATGCAAGAAATGGAAGAAAAAAACAAAGCAAAAAATGCAAGAATTGGAAGAAGAAACATACCAAAAAAAAGGCAGGAAATGGAAGAAGAAATGAAGCAAAAAATGCAAGAAATGGTAGAAAAAACAAAGCAAAAAATGAAAAAAATGGAAGAAGAAACAAACCAAAAAAGGCAGGAAATGGAAGAAGAAACAAAGCAAAAAATGCAAGAAATGGAACAAAAAGCAAACCAAAAAATGCAAGAAATGGAA